GTGCTGCAGGCTTATTGCCTGACTGACGTTGATGAGATTACCCCCTTAGGTATCGAAATTTGGTACCGAACGACGAGACGTTTTTCGATACTCGATGGTATCGAGGCAATTCGGTCGGTGCCTAAAAAGTATCGAACTCGATACCCAGCCCTACACAAACCCCCCCCCCTCATTATGCCAGTCCTGTCCTGGGGGAAACGTCACGCCAATTACGTACCTGATATCCATTATTAAAGTTGAAAAGTGTAATTTTTTTAAATCTTAAAATGCTTTCTCCTTTTTTAATATGCAGATTATGCACCTCTTGAGACAAGGGAAGGGAGGTTTACCTGCACAGTTCTTACCAGCTGGCCTCCATCTCAACCCCTTAAACCAAACTCCCAACCGGGTCATGGCACCAATTTAACTGGTCTTAATTCACACTGCTTCATGAGGGATTCGAAGCAGCATCAGTCAGCATGAGAGGCAGGGGAGTGGAGTGAGGGTTATATACACGGCTCTTCTTAGGCCAGAAAACTGACACTACGTTCACAACAGTTTTAGGCTCAAAATATTCTATGCAAGTATGTGAACAGAAACACTTCTAGCTATGCAAAAGCCCCATATCATGTGTGACTGGATCCCGAAATGTGTCAGAACACAATTGCGTAATACAATGCGTCATACTGTCTGCACTTACTGTTTTAATTTACCATTATTACTATTTTTTTTAGTACACTATTTACTATTTATTTCCTGAACCCTGTTTATAGAGCACAAAGTTAAAGAAAGAAAGAGCTTTAATGACAGTAGGCACTTCAGCTGGCATGGACAAAACAGCATGATTCGGGAATGTTCCAAAGAGCATCTTGTGCGATTCAAAATAAGCAAGTGAATAAGATTCAAGGTGGTTCAAGGGTCTGTCTAACAGATACAGGGTTTTGCTCATTCACTGATTCAGGTTTTGCACAACCACTGAAATGGTTTAATGTACCATACGTTTTCATTCGACTGGACCTCTGAGCTTCCAGGCAGAAGTCATCCTGGAAGTCATTAGTAGGAAGCCTAATTACTTATAAATGTGTATTTATGTAGAATGCATTATGTATTCTTTGATTCATCTTGTAATGGATGTACGCTGTAGTTCTCTAATGAGCTTGACCATTTGAAGCAGGACTTCACTGTGCGCTGAGATTGTTCCACTTACTGAGAGCAGCTTCCATGTGATTGGGCGCACCTGCCGCGGAATTCCAGACCAGCTCAACTTCCGAAGCTCCTCTGAGGAAACAAAAGATTTTTATTAGAGAGAAAGTCACTTCTCAAAGTAGTAGTACGAGTTTCTTCATCATGAATTGACTACATTATTAATAATCTGTCCGATCAAGATTTTGCAGGACTCTTTTCAGTCATTTCAAAATTATTCTAACAATGAATAACGTGAACTATGAATTATTTACAATAATTATTTACAAAAAAAGGGTGTCATTTTTGACTTCATGCTGACTTGAAAAAAATGCAAACAGGTCTTGATAACACTAGTCCTGGTCATGGTGCTCTTTAAAACATTCTTACATAAACTGTCCCACTGAATTGAATGGCAATTTATGCAAGAATACTTATACAAATGACTTCTGCTGAAAGTTGTTCTGCTCATTTTTCCTGTACGAGGCCCAGCTGTGCACATGCTTATTTCAGCAAGTGCCGACCAGTTATCATCTTGGAAATAAACACAGCTTAAACACAGCTATTCTGTATTCAGTTCAGTTTAGTACGAGCTAATTTTTTCCTTCCTTTTCTGATCAAGAGAGACGAAGAAATAAGTTAAAAATATGGCTGCTTTGTCATCAGAAATAGGGTGCATACAGAAATTAGTGCAGTCTACATACAGTATACATACTGCAAAAAAAAGTATAACTGTAGTATTTAATTCAAATATCCGCTGGTATGTTCAGAATAGCAAATACACTACAAATATGGTGACATCAAGGCATCTCTGATAAGCTGTTTTCAACATATAATTATTTGAGATGCACTAATCTGACATATTTAATAGTGTGGATAGCTTGCAAAACAGGATCACATTTGAAATCTATGGGCACACCATGCTTTCAATAAGCACTGCATGAGTGTGTATTTGTGAACACAAGAGTGCTAACGTAAAGAAATCTCAGTGAGGCAAATTTGACTTTTAAAATGGGCAAAGAGTCCCCTGCAGAGCCTTAAAAGAGTGAACAAGCACTTTAATACCAAATATTTCTCATTTCATATCTGTATCGCATATTTCAAGGGTTGATGGCAGCAATCATAATGTGTTGAATGTGGATTAGTCATTTATCAGGGCCTTGACAACAGGTTGCAGTGTAATGTGCATACATTTTATTTGACATCAAAGATAAATCAAAATTTTAAATCAAGAGGTTGGTTTAAAAATTCATACAATAGACAAAATGTGCCATGAATACAAGAGCCTTCTGGGGAAAGCGTTTTTATTTTCCTGAAAACTAACCTTTCTGATATCAGAGCTTGATGCTTCTTGTGCAGTTTTTTTTTGTCAGGGCAAAATGAAGACTGAAGCGAATAAATAATGAATAGTGTTGTTATGACTGCCATGCAAATATGAGTGACTGTGAAAACATAAGCATGGTCTCCTTATTCACACATCATTCATTATTATTGATGGCAAGCCTATTTGCAGAGACACCTCAAAGGTTTACGCTATCAGTCGTATTTCCACTCAACTCTAAAATTATCATTTGGACTAAATTATTTTTTGAATTACATCACAGGGACCACCCAGACTTTTATTTTATCTAATCTGCAAAAGGGAATCTTTCAGAAAACATGAGTATGCTATATTATGGTTATAACATCTCAACACGTATTCAGTATGTATAATTTAACTTGAGGTGGCATTTATTTATCTATTTTTTTTTTATGTGCCCTTGTTACAGGTTACATACTGCATATACCAAAGTAATAACAGTAAATTATGCACAATTGCAAGCAACTAAGCCCTTACCAATTGTATGCTTATTAATACGATTCATAAATAATTGTGATTTGTGGAATTACACTTTAACAAGGACAAATTAAAATAAAGTGTGACCATTTATATGAACAATTAATATAATAATACAGGTGTTTCTGCGAATAGTTTCCCAGAAAACAATGGGGAAAAATACTGGATTATATTCACATAATGGAATATTTCACAGAAAAAAAAAGCAAATATACAGTTCTGCTTGTGGAAATCTAGCCATTGTAACTTTAAGTGCCTTTGTTTCCAGGCAGACTGATAATGAAACCTGTGTCCTTACACCTGGAAGTTCATCCAGACAATGGGAAAAAGTGATTTAGCCAGCTGTTGCCATGTGCAATATGTTTCAGACACAAAGGATAGATGGTGGACAGATGGTGGAAAATAGTCAGGAAAAACTAAATTATGACTATGGCGCAAGAAACTTTGATCAAGATTATAAATAAACAAACCAATAAATAAATAAATTAAATTAAAAAACTGTTTAAAAAAATCTATTTAAAACCAAAAGACGTTTTTAAACGTAACAGTCCTACATTCCATTCACTGCAGGGAAAAGAGCAGCCTAAACATTCTTCAAAACTTCTCTTTTTGTATTTCACGAATGAAAATAAATCATACAGGCTTGGAAAAACATGACGGTAAATGATGACAGAATAATAATTTTTGGGTGAATTATCCCTGAATCTCATTTTGGGGGTCAGCCATGCAGTAATCTAGATCTTCATAATGCCTTCATTAAGCTATAGATCATTATAAAAGAACCATTTCCAGTCTAACAAATGATTTTCAGCAGATCTTCATGGCCCTCGTGCAATACCTGCGTGGCTAAAGTGTAAGTACAGAGGGCATGAGTGTGTGTTCTCTCCAGGCAGGTATGCTGGTGTAGTATATGAGGACGGTAGGCTGTCCTGACACATTGAAGGCTAGCTTTAATGTGCGTGCTGCTTTGCGCAGGAACTTTATAGGGAAAGCGCTCAATTCATTAAACACAGAGCCACTCAAGGGTGTCTCCTCGGCTCACACCTTTGAACCCTCATTTGCACTGTCAGCCGCAGAAATTAGTCAATGAATCTTGTGCCCTGGCACTTAATTAAACTATCTGTTATATTTCCTCCACGTGGCATTAATCTCACAACGGGGGGGGGAGAGGAAGAGAGAGGAATTAGACGTTCACTATTTCATCAGCTCATTGTTGCTGTCTTTGTCCCTCTGGAGACGGTGACCTCAAAAGGCCAGGTAAGTGAGTCTCACAAAACCTGTATAAAGCATGTCTGAAGAACAACAACTTCATCAAAGGAGGAAATTAAAATAAAGAGCATGGTCATATCTGTAGCTTAAATAATACAATCCTAATAAAACTGTGATTATTCTCATTCACATTTTTGTGAAAATCACATTTTCCAAATTCTTGTTACTGAAATTCTAAAAAAATCATTACATTACATAATACACAGTGTTTCTATATCATGGTATTTGTTGTAATACCTTTACATAAATGTTTCTTTGCTGTAACAGTCATAAATACCATAAAAATTAATAATAAAATAAATAAAACAATTTTATTTTGGGGTGAAATATGACCTTGACATGTTTTCATTAGAACTACACGTATCCCACATTTGTGCACAGGTGTGTGTATCGCTGTGTGTTTGTGGACAGTACTATTCTTGCCAAACCACCTTAAGGCAGTCGTTTCATTTTCTTTATCTAATTTGTGAGGGCCGTTTATACTGTTTCCACAACAGATTTTTCTTTGTTAACTCCACAAAAAAGGAAGCCAAGGAAGCAATAGAGATACATTCTCAAAACGCTAAATGATTATTTTGAGTCAATTGGATTCCTTGACAGATGAGTTTCTTCTTGTTATTGCAGTTTAAGTTTCACTAACACAACTCAAAAGTCCATACTGTAATTAGAGCTGTGATTAATCGAAATACAGTTTAATACAGATTAATTGTATTTTCATAATCGCAACAATTATGAAAATACAATAATCGAGACAAAACAGTTATTGTGCCCCATTCCTCCCCTTTCCAGTGGTGTGCTTTCGCTCCTCCATGAAAGCCCAAAGTTAAATATTTTAATCAGTAAAATCATGTAACGTGACTTTCACAAAATGGGATGTGCTTGATTTATTCAAGTTCATTAGATTTATTTGTGCTTTAAAAAACGCGAAAGAGAACTTGCGCTGTTCCTCAGGAGGATTTCTGTGCATGCGCTCCGAGACGGAACAGAACACAGACAAGTAAAGTGAACTTTTAGATTAGGTGCGTGCCTAAACGCTCAAATACACGCAAAAATGAGTCAAAAAGTGGCGTTTGGTGATTATTCACATAAAACTTCATCGGTTATGTCTTACGTGAATGTAAACATTTGAGAATGAAAATATGTGTGTAACAGTATATAGGATCCATTAGGATTGGGTACCGAAACCCGGTACCAATATGGTATACCTATATATGGTACCTATGTAACCGGTATGTACTAGAACCGAATCCGAACGCAGATTTCGATGCCTCATTTCGGGAGAAGGGTCTGGCTGCAGACATGCACTTGCATTTTCAGACTTGCACTCTCTGACTTGCACTCTCAGACACCTGCACTTCCACGAGTGACGTCACTTGCAGTCTTTTTTTATTTTTTATTTAATTTAATTGATTAATTTTTTTTAAAAATTTAATCTCTCAACATTAGGGCCTTTCGCACCGCTTTAGTAAACATTCTTCAAAACTTCTCTTTTTGTGTTTCACAGAAGAAAAGAAGTCATACTGGCTTGGAAAAACACGAAGGCGAGTAAATGATGACAGAATAATCATTTTGGGGTGAATTATCCATGAATCTCATTTTGGGGGTCAGCCATGCAGTAATCTAGATCTTCATAATGCCTTCATTAAGCTATAGATCATTATAAAAGAACCATTTCCAGTCTAACAAATGATTTTCAGCAGATCTTCATGGCCCTCGTGCAATACCTGCGTGGCTAAAGTGTAAGTACAGAGGGCATGAGTGTGTGTTCTCTCCAGGCAGGTATGCTGGTGTAGTATATGAGGACGGTAGGCTGTCCTGACACATTGAAGGCTAGCTTTAATGTGCGTGCTGCTTTGCGCAGGAACTTTATAGGGAAAGCGCTCAATTCATTAAACACAGAGCCACTCAAGGGTGTCTCCTCGGCTCACACCTTTGAACCCTCATTTGCACTGTCAGCCGCAGAAATTAGTCAATGAATCTTGTGCCCTGG